CCTGTTTGGTCTGATTGGAGGCGGCCTTCCCTTGACTCCTAGGTTGGCCCTTCCCTCAGCCACCTGCCTTAGTCTTTACTACCGCGGCGAGTGTGCTACCCTCAGCTACCTCCTCGCCGTCATACTCTGAGTAGTCCGCCAGGTCAGAGAGCTCGTCGATTTCTGTTTGAGTCCCATCAGACTCCACCATCATCAACTTCGCCCCCTTTTTCTTCCACTCCTGAGGACTCTTCTTCTTCTTTGAGTCATTTCCTGAGGTGGGTTGAGCATTGCCTAGCGTGGCCTCCAAATCTAAAGCCTTCCTAGACAATGTCTCAAATGAGTGGTACTCGGTACGTGCCTCACTGGCTAGTAAGTTCCTGATGTTCTCTGGGAGACATCTGACAAACGTAGTCAAGAGGAACGGGTCGCTGTAGTTAATACCTGGGACGAGGATCAGGCTCTCAACGGTAGTCGTAAGCTCCCTAACTGACCTGAACTTGCGTTGGTCCAGTTTGTTAATGTGGGTTATGCCATCGAGCTTCTACCATCTCCATGAATTGGTCTAAAGTCAAAGACTTAGCCCAATCCGCCATGCGTCTCCCGTACCCGACCTTCACAACTACACCATCTAACCACTTGGCTGCCTTACCCTCAAGGTAAGACGCCGCAGTTACCACTTCGTCCTCAGGCAAGGTCCTTTTGGCCTTCACCCAAACCGGGACTGTCCTCAACCATGTGTTGAGTTCCTCGTCCTTTCTCTCGCCTGAGAAGGCAAGAGGTGGTTTCATTGGGGTCTTTGGATACCATTGACCTTGCGGCTGTCCAGTTGACTGAACAGGTTGTTGTGGTGATGTAGCAATCACCACTGGACCCGAAGAAGAAGATGCAACAGTCTGTGCTGCTGCTGCGGATGTGCCACTTGGCTGTGTGCCAGCTTGTACGGCAAAAGGGCCTGACATCGCCGTTAACGGCAACGGCGATTGTGCTGGTGGCCGGAATCCTGGCTTTGTCAATGCATCCAAGATCCGGTCCAAAGTGCTTTGCATGAAGTCCATCCTGCTGTCCACGTGCGCATGCAGTGACAACATGTTGTCCTCCAACACTTTCAGGGGGTTAGACAAACTTGATTCGTCCAATCCCTCTAACGCAGCCTTGTCAGCCTCTAACGTATCAAGTCTGGCTGCTCTACTTTTATCTCTTTTTCTCTATCGGTTGCTTTCTTCAGATCCTCCTCTAACTGCTGGCGGAGCCTCTCGACCTGTTGGATCTCTCTGAGCTCCCTCTCACGCGGGGTCAACGGGCTGAACTGCAAACCCGCCATTTGACTAGAAGACTGTCTAGACCCTGTTGAACCGGAAGTGCCCAAGGAACTCGTGTCGGCCTGAGTGCCCAGGGCCTAACTAACTCAGAGGCCCTGGGCATTTCAGCATTTGCTGAAATCCGAGACTCGGTGCACTCCAACCAACTGGCGTGCTGCA